AAGATTTGTCCTCATAAAATAACCATACACGGTATCAATATTTCAAATTTCAAACCTGTTTATATTTTGAGGAATACAAAAAAAAATCGATACTTATAATAAAGTTTCGATACTTTTTGGATAAAATGCTATTTTTGAAAAAAAATTCCTCATGAGGTATCAATACATAGAGTCTAAGTATCCATATTTCAAATTTTGATAGAGTGATAATATAGATACTTGCACATAAATTGTGATATTTTTTGACAGAATGCTGGATATGAAGAAAAAAAATCCTCATGAACTATCCATACACAAAACACATCTAATAATTTTTAAAATTTTGAAACTAAAGAAGCATTTGAGGTAAGAGTAAAAATATCAACACTTTTAATAAAGTTACATTATTTTTTTCTCTTGTAATAATATGATGCCTCAAAGCTTGGGCACTCTATGTTTTAAATGAATATCAATCTCCCATAGTTCTTGAATCCAAATTTTTTTTTGTTAGAATTTTCATTTGACCACGACGTTCGCAATTGCGTTAGATATTTTTAATCACATACTGAAAAAGAGATTGGTTGATCTATTATTATGTTCTGTTCTATTTTTTGCATATAACGTTTAACTTATTCGAGTAAATTGTGAGTGAAGATACGTTTAGGGTTGACAAATTGGGAGAACTCGTTAATGTGGGTGGGTTGCACATTTTATGGTCACAAATGCTATAAGAATTGAAGTATCAATCAGATTTATTATGTAAACCTATTAAACATCCGATTATGAGGATGACATAATAGGTTGCACCTTGTTTTTATTTTAACTAGTTATTTTGTAAGACTGCAATTATTTTTATTATTAAAAAATATTAAAAATCCAATTGTGCGGATAACATCATAGGTTGCACATTATTTTTTTTAATTATTTTATAAACTTACAACAGTTTATATTATTAAAAAGTATTAAAAGTATGGTTTTGAGAATAACGTAATAGGTTGCGTCTTGTTTTTTAACCAATTATTTTATAAGCCTACAACCATTTATATTATTAAAAAGTATTAAAAATTTGGTTGCAAGGATAACATACTAGCTTGCGTCTTGATCGATTATTTTATAAGCCTGTAACCATCTATATTAATAAAAAGTATTAAAAATTCAATTTCGAGGATAATGTAAAAGATTGGCCTTATAAGCCTGTTTTTTTAATTGGTTGTTTCGGCAAAACTTTCGAGATAATGTTTTGGAAAAAATCAATTCACGAGATAAAACACTCCCAACATTAATTGCTCAAATAAGGTGAAATCCACAGTTTTGGCCGTAGGTCGCCATGCCTTCCGAGCGACCTACTAGGTCGCCATGTCTTCCCGGCGAGCTACAAGAGATTACATGTGCCATGCACGTCCCAACACGCTGGGCATTCGAGGCTATCCGACCAAGGCCATCCGACCGAGGCCATCTGAGAGCATCCGAGGCCATCTGACCGAGCTATGCGAGGGAATCCGAGGGCAACCGAGCGAGCGTAAGTCACCCGGAGCGCATGGCGACCTACAAGGTCGCCCGGAGGGCATGGCGACCTATATGTTGGGACGTGCATGTGCCATGCAACACGTTCATTCTCTCTGTTTGAGCAAGGGTAGGTTGCCCGGAGTGCATGGCGACCTACAAGGTCGCCCGGAAGGCATGGCGACCTACGGCCAACACTGTGGATTTCACCTTATTTGAACAATTAATCTTGGGAGTGCATTAGCTCGTGAATTAATTTCTTTCAGAACATTATCTATAAAGTTTTGCCCCTGAATCATTTATATTATTGAAAAGTATTAAAAATTTGATTGCAAGGATAACATAATAGGTTGCGCCTTATTTCAATTTGAAGCAAACTCTTCCCCTTAGTTTATATCTCCCTTGAGGAGCCCTCCAAATTTTCTATTCTTCTCGCCAAAACCCTAGCAACGTTGTCGCTCGTCCCTTAGCTTGCCGTCATCCCCGTTAAGTTAAATCTCCAGTGGGTTCCACTCTTCCCCACCATTCGTTTCTCCTAGGAGAGGCTATTCAAACATCGTCGATTTTTTTCTTTACTCTAAATAGGATCGACGATAACTTTTTTTCATCGCTCAATCATCGTTCACGGCAATTCATGATTGTTGTGGCTCTCGGTTGGTAGTATACTCATCGGGAAGGCCTAATCGGCCTGGTGTGAGCTACCAGCAACCTGGGTGGCCTAGTGTGTGTGCTAGGCAGCACCCTGGTTGGTCGTGGGGTTCCCTCTACCGCCCATGCGATTGCTCCCTACCGTCCCTCTGGTGCTCGACTGCTGCCATCGTTCGAATCAAAACCCCATTACTCGGTTCCCCGTATCGAACTAAGAATTTTATTAAATTTCATTTAAATTGCTTTATTAATCAGATTTGATGAATTGGGGATGTTTAGTTGGATGTCATTTTTTTAGGAGAAATCAAATCCAAACTGAAATTACTGTCCCCTTTGTCGTTATCCGCTAATTTCAAATCGACCCATGTTACCCCATGTTGATCGTGAGTGTTAGCGGATATGTTGGTTTTAGATTTGATTTGACGTTGAATTAGATATTTTATTTAATAATAAACTGTTCTGGAGGACCCAATTTGGACTGTCCCACTGTCAGAGTTAACCGTGGGAGATATCACAATCATTGCTAGAATATTTTATCGAGTTGTCTTTGTCTGATGCTATATTTATTTTTGTGATTATTTGATTGATTGGTATGCACTGTTGAATTGTGAGTTTGACTGTTTTGTGAAAATTAGTTGTAATAAATACGATTCAAAAATTGTCATGTGATGCATGTTGAATATATGTTTTTCATTCAGAACATTTGAATATGTTAATCTGTTAAAATCAGAATATATGCTATGCATTCAAAATATTTGATTATGTAAATATTTTTACTTTCAGTGTAGATCAAAAATGGGATTTGTACATCATATTACTATCTCATCATAGGTTGAGATTGATAGGGGAAGTTTAGTGTATTCATTCGACAAGGTACATGTCACTTCAGATTCAATGGTCTCATGCCTATGTGTCGGAACCCATTTCGAATAGTGTGTTACAGTTTGAGTAGTTCTGGCCAACTTACTCTTGGGACGGTGTAATGCATATATGTGCATAATCATTTGAATATTATTTAGACTTTAAATATTTCTATTTGATTCAATTTATGTTTGATTTCTGACTGTTGTACTTTAGAGACATACAAAGCTTAATAGTTTATACCCTCCTAGTTCTCTTTCAGATACTCAAATTTACGAGATTAGGTACTTGAAGAATCAAATTCATTATTTAGATAAAACATTGTTTCATTATAAATTTTTATTTGACTTTTCTGTATCAAATTTTTGCTTATATTATTTTGGTGTTATTTTACTTGTAATTTGGGACTTTGGACATTATAGTATATCATATTGTTTTTGCATGATTTAGAAATATTTATTAGGATAAACTACTTCAAATATCACTTACTTTAAGTCCGGGCTTGATTATGTCACTAATATTTTAATTTTGTCAATTTTAACATCGACGTTTATGTTTAACTGTAATTATAGTACCCGTCATTACTTCATTAATGACAAGATGACTTGGCACCTCTTGTCAAACGGTGAAGAGCTGCTTCGTTCATTTTTTTTTTTACTTTTTCATCTTCCGCTTCATTTGTTGCTTTAAGATGATAAAATTATCCGCTCCGGCATCAACTTCATTGTCTTCCTCATCTTCTGTCATAGCTTTTCCTTTCCCCTCCTTCAAGGTGGTCGGTCATTGAGCTTCGACGATATCGTCCTCCTGGAAATGCCAGAATGCAGACTTCACGTTGGCGGATTTCTTCATCTTCTTTAAAAGCTTAGTCGACACCTCCCCGGATGTCGGTTTAGTATCCGATTTAGTCCTTGAAACATGATGGTTTTCAACATTCAGGTGACTGTAGATTTCATCGAGCGTCCGTCCTTTACCTTGGGTCGCTGCCGGTTCCTCCACTTTTGCGTCAGACACCTCGATCGGTCTATAATGGGAGAAATTCCCATGGGTTTTCTCCGACAAGAAGTAACGCTTGAGGTTAATGGACTTAACCCTGTGAAGCAATGACGGAGATCGATCCAACGACTGTTGTTGCTGTTGTAGAGAGATTTGGTGTCAAAAGAGAACTAAAAATCACTTCAATCCGACGTTCTTTCGTATGAAACAACATGCTCTTGATATCTATAAGCATAAAAGTTGATAGATTTCAACCTCTGCAACATGTATGAGGATCTATCGAGCTTTAGGGTTGTTTTATTGTCTTATTGATCATGTCTTCCGCCATCGCCGTCGTTGTTGGTGAAGGTCAAAGTGGACCCTTTTCAGTGAAGAACCATCTCCTCCTTAGCCTGGTTTTCAAAGAACCTCCTCCGTAGCCTATAAAAAAGGATGAACCTGGCGGCATTCCTACATCAAACTCGGATTCCTTGTCCCCTCACATTCCTTCACTTCAATCTTCGTTCGCCGCTTTACTTGAGCTTTAGCTCGAGACTTGAAGACCTCAAACATTCGCATGGCATTCATATAAATGCTATGTGTTATGATGATTTCTCCCGCATGGGTGCATTGAGGGTGCGATTGAATCAGGTTCGATACCTCGATCGTTCGCTCCCATTCGCATGGTGGGGAAGGGTCATTTCTTAGCTTTGTTTCCTGGTGAATAGGTGGTCGGATTTATCTTCTCAATCTGCTGGCGTAAGAGTTCACTCCCAACGCCGAACGCATTCAAACAACTTCCTTCCCCCGCTTCATTTCCTGGTCGTGTTCACTCCCTTGCATTCTCCGCATGGCTCTTAAGATATTATAAACGACTAGAGAACGAATTGGATATAGCTTCGTGCTTCGGGTTTGTTTTATTGTCTTGTTGATCGTGTCTTCCTCCATCACCGCCATTGTTGGTGGATGTCAAAGTGGAAGTTAAATAAATGGTGCCCATGGGAGTAGTAGCTTTAATCCTTTTACAAACAACCCTAATCCCAAACTTTGGAAGTCTTCGAATCTCCCATCTTTGCTTTAACTTTAGTCTCCAGCTTCATCTGCAATGGCAGACCGTTCTTTCTCTTCAAACCAGCTTTTAACTTCCCTGCTGAAGAATTATCAAGTTCTTGGTTGTTTCTGCTAGTTATGGCGGCTTTCAAATAGGTCGTGTTCTTCGTTCCATGTACGAAGGAATGGGACGAGCCATCGCCTATTTCGATGCGGTCGTTGGTGGTAAGCGATACGGTGATGGGGTCGTACATGTAGACGAGTCTTTTGTTCAGGTTTTTGGCTGCTACGTTGAGGTTGATGTTAGTGATGAGTTTTGAAAACGATGTTATGTTAAGGGTCGAGATTTTTAGGGAGTAGACTGTCAATGGAGACATGTTATCTTAAGAAGATGTCATGTCATCGTATCATTAATATATTAAAGGTGGTATAGCATAATTATTGTTAAATATAAATGTTAATATTAAAATTGATAAAATTAAAATGTCAGTAGTATTAACGAGCTCGAGCTTAAATGTAATTGATATTTGAAGTAGTTTACCCTATTTATTATTTATATTGAGTTTTTCGTGAAATATTTTATTTTAGTAAATTATGAATTATTGAACTTAGGAATTGTTACTTAATTATAAATATTATTTTTAAGTTTGAGTCAAACATGTTTTCTTCAAGGGAAATGGATTTCAATTGGACTTTTCACATTCGACCTAATTCTTTTAAGTCTAGTTAAGGGGTTATATTTAGTGGTATCAACGGCATGTTCTATCATTCTAACTGTGCAACTCAACCACAAATTTTTTAACTAATAATAACTTTTACATGTATGTAGATATTTCTGGATTAAAATAGGAACTTCCTGAATGAAAAAAAATATTATTCATATATAAAATAACTTGAATGATGTTCAATGATCCTCGCCTTAAAAGTAATTTGAATTTCGTTTATAATATTCGTTATATTCACATGACGAAATAAATATTATAAAAATTTAAATAATTTTTAGGCAATAATATTTTCTTAATTATTTTTTTTGTACACAATACCTTTTTACTTTTGTCCAAAGAATGTATATTATTTTTAAAATAATTTATTATATTATTTTTATTTGTAAGAAACCAAGAGAACTAGGTTATCACTGAAACACAGTACCAGAATGCATCGAGCAAGCATCCGAGGAGCACAACGTTAAGGCCTCAGGAGGGGAGTCCAAGACGGTCAGATCGGAGCAGTGAGGCGGAGCCAACTTGGGCAAGGCAATCAGCAACCTTGTTGCAGACAGAAAAATAATATATATTTTAAAGTAAAATTTGAAAAGTGATTTCTAATGAAAATGCAAAATATAAGTGAAAAAAGTTTTCTTGTATTATTATTTTCATTTATGATTTCTGAAAAATTAAAATAAAAATATGTGAAAAATATAAAAACAAAAAAAAATATGTTTGCATTATTTTCATTAAAATTATTTTGGAAATTTGAAAAATAAAGAAACATGAGATTTATATTTTTAACTTAACTTACAGGAGTTAAAATCTTCTAACAACAATCTGTTGGCTTAATGGTATTGAAACCTTCAAACTTTTGTAAAAAATCAATATGGTCCCTAATTTTTTTACACACAATGTGATCCTTAATTTAAATTTTTAATAATTTAATTTTGTAGTATTTTTATATTTAATGTATTGAATATATTAATAATTATTTATATTTTATGTTTTAAATTTAAACAATTTTTTTAAAATTTTCTAAAAAATTAAATAAATCTTCAAACTTTATGAAAAAATCAATTAGACTCTCGAACTTAGCCTCAAAATCAATTAAGCCCATTTACCGCATCATTGTCATTGTGTACTGTCACAATAGTTGTAATACCCCAAATATCAGGTCAGAGACTATATTGAAAAGATTTAAAATTTATAGATTTATTTGAATAAATGGTAAAAGATGAGAAAATGATTTGGAATAGTGTTTTGAACTAAATTGTATCAATAGATGAATTAAGAGGACATTTTGGTCCTTTAAGGGGAAAATGAATTTAAAATTCATTTTTAATAAGGCATTAAATGAAAAGGGGGTAAGGGGAAAATAAGTTACCCAAAAGGCATATCTCTTTTCTTCTTCTTTCCCGCGAAAATAGCTCTCCTCCATAGCAAAGGTAAAGTTTTAATTGGTTAGTGTTTCCTTTCGATTATGGTTGGTTCTTGCAAACTTAAGTGTTATGTAAACTTAAGGAAAGTTATATAAGATTAAAACTATGAGATGGAGGAGAAACTGGAGATTTAAGAAAATGGGTTTTGAAATGATATGTTAAGATGTGAGTGTTTATTTATGTTTACTAGTAGATTTGACTTGTCATTGAAGTAAATAAGAGATTAGAAACATTGGATGAGTTTAAAAACAAGTTAGAGAATATGGTGTGATTCTTAGATTCGAGTGAGCTTGAGAGATTTTAGTTGTTTTAAGAATCTAAATGAAGGAAATTTAGTAGAGATAAGTAGAAAAGAGTTTAATAGTATTGTTGGGGGTAAACATAAGGACATTTGACCAAATTTGGGTAAGTTTCGGGTTGAAAAATGTAAAATCTGGGTAATGGTATCGATACTGATAGAACAATACTGATACTATATGCTTAAAATCAGTAGAATTCGTTGAGTAGTATCGATACCGATGCAAGTAGTATCGATACCAAGAGGGGGTATTGATACTATGAGGATGGTATCGATACCATTGTTAACAGAATGCATAAATGGTATCGGTACCATAATAGAGTATCGGTACCATAATATAGTAGTATAAATACCATGGTAAGGGTATCGATACTATTAAGCCAAAAATGTGAGGATAAGCTAATATTGTTAGAGAAAATATAATAATATGTACTATTAAGTAATGTTCAAGTATAATTGTTAGGAAATATACTAACAATTGATATTGTACGTGTCTTTATTGGATGCTTGAGTAGATCGAAATCAAGCTCCCGAGTCAAGCAAAACAAAAGGCAAAGGCAAAGTATATGAGTAATCAACTTTTTGTTTTGGATATAATAGCGAGGCAACCCAGGTGAGTGCATTTATTATGTACTTATATGTTATAATAGTTATAGATATATGTTACTTACTATATGTATAGTGATTTCCAAATGGCACTATGTGTGTAAAACTAAGAAATTCATATTAAGTTAATGAATTTCCGTATGGGCACTTTGTGTGCAAAAACATAATAAATTCATAATAAGTTTATGAATTTTGATATTGGTAATGTGTGTGCCACCTACATAAATAATAATAAGTTTGTGAATTTATTGTAATTGGCACTACATGTGCATACTATAGAGTTTATAATGAGTTGAGAGAGTCAATTGATATTATAAACAATTAGTAGTGTAGAAACTATTCCAAAGTAAAAGATTAATAGCCTAGCTATGAATTTGGTAGAAATGTGTCAATTATGCCAGTTAGATGAAATGTTAAATACCTTTGAGTAAAAGATTAATAGCCTAACTGTGGATTTGGCAAAAAAGTGTTAACTATGCCAGTTAGATGAAAGGTTAAATACCTTTGAGTAAAAGTTTAATAGCCTAGCTGTGCATATGATAGAAAGGTGTCAATTATGCCAGTTAGATGAAAGGTTAAATACCTCTAAGTAAAAGATTAATAGCCTAGCTGTGCATTTGGCAGAAAGGTGTCAATTATGCTAGTTAGATGAAAGGTTAAATACCTTTGAGTAAAAGAATAATAGCCTAGATGTGCATTTGGTAGAAATGTGTCAATTATGCCAGGTAGATGGCAGGTTAAATGCCTTTAAGTAAAAGATTAATAGCCTAGCTGTGCATTTTCCAGAAAGGTGTCAATTATGTCAGTTAGATGAAAGGTTAAATACCTTTGAGTAAAAGATTAATAGCCTAGCTGTGCATCTTGTAAAAATGTGTTAATTATACCAGTTAGATGAAATGTTAAATACCTTTGAGTAAAAGATTAATAGCCTAGCTGTGCATTTGGTAGAAAGGTGTCAATTATGAGAGTTAGATGAAAGATTAAATACCTTTGAGTAAAAGATTAATAGCCGAGCTGTGCATTTGCCAGAAAAGTGTCAATCATGCAAGTTAGATGAAAGGCTAAATGTCTTTGGGGGTAAAAGACTAAAGGAATTATAATGCACTTTGATATAAACGGTGCATAAGTGGTATGAATGGATGTTGTATATATATATATATTGTACAAAAATGCATAATTTGTATGAATGGATGTCATAAAGGTAAACATAAACATTACATAATGGACATGAAAGGATGCCCCAAATGAAAATACAAAACGGTGTATTACCAGTATTTAAGGTGTCGCCCATGGTGATTATAAAAGATACATGATCAATTGGCACTTTGGTGCAATTACATGTATAGGACTTTCTCTAATGTACATAGGGAAAATAAAGAATAAATGTGAAAAATATACAGAATGATAGGTATGATGGGCTTACTAAGAATAATTTCGATGATTGTATGAAAGAATTATGGTTTAACTGAGAAGGGCTTATCTAGTCCTTATGGATTATGCAATTTAATTCATCTTCCAGTAGTCATAAGATACTTATGTATAAATTGTGATATCTTTACAGTATTATGTCTCACTAAATAAATACTTAACGTGTGTTGATTTCATGCGTAGGGAATAATGGTTTTACCGTGTAAGGAGTGCAGCAGTAACAACTTTCATCAAGTAAAGGTTGACTCGTCTGTAACCTTGGGACAATCTTATTAGATTTGAAAACTTAGTTGGCATGTAATTAAACTATAGTAAATATTTTGTAATGAATTTAAAGTGATAGATTTAGTATTTTGCTTCTATGAATATCATAATTTATGGTTGTTAAAACTGAAACAAAATTTTACGGGTTTTCAAATGATAAAATGTTTTAAAAAGTGATATCACCTCTGTATCTCGTGTACGGAAATGTATACGGGATATGGGTGTTAAATTTATTAGTATCAGAGCTACAGTTTTAGTCAATTCTTGGCCGAAACTGAGTTCATTTGAAATGATAAAAATGGAATACATGCCACTAAGATTGTTAAGGTTTTTGATATGGTGTCATTATAGTGTAATTGATTACACTCCTTGCTAACTGTAATGTTATTACTATGAATGTTCTAATAGATGTCAGAATCCCCGAACTTGAGTAGAACGTGGGGAACAAGATATGAGAGAAGGGAATGGTAGCAAAAGTTACAAAGCTAATAGTGAGCAGTCGGTCCCATCTGGAAATGCTAGTGCGCCTACACATCAAGGGATGACAGTACCAGAGTTTGGAGCTTTTATGGAAGCTCTCGACGCTATATTGACCCGTTTTCAGCCTCCTCCACCTCCTCTTGCTCCTTCAGCAC